TATATATATATATATATATATATATAAATATCCTTTAGTCTCCTTTCTCCTTCTTCTGTCTCCTTTTGTCTCCTTTTTGTCTCCTTTCTATCTCTTCTTTCTTTCTGTCTCCTTTTGTCTCTTTCTGTTTCCTTTTTGTTTCTTTTTTTCTCTTTTTTTCTCTTTTTTATTTTTTTTTTGTCTCTTTTTTGTCTCCTTTCTGTCTCCTTTTGCACAAAAACATTCACCTAAATAAATTTTTGTTTTTTTTGTTTTTTTTTTATTTTTTTGTCTTTTTTTTTCTTTTTTTTTTCTTTTTTCTTTTCTCGATCTCCTCTATCTCCTCCCTGTCTCCTTTCTGTCTCCTTCTGTCTCCTTTTGTCTCTTTTTGTCTCTTTTTGTCTCCTTTTTTCTCTCCCTACCACCCAAAAGTATCTTTTATTAACTTACACCCAGACACCATAAACAACGTCTGCCAAACCCCCAAACAAATACGCGGAAATATACCCCGCAGCAACGCACCAGGCCCCTCTCGCTGCACTATATCCCCCATCACCTGCAGCAGCAGCACCAGCAGCAGCAGCAGCAGCAGCAGCAGCAGCAGCAGCAGCAGCAGCAGGAGAGCAATTAGAAGCAGCAGAAAAAACGGAAAAAAAATTGCAGCAGCAGAAGAAACGGCAAAAAAAACAGCAGCAAAAGATGCAGCAGCAGCAACGCAGCAGCAGCAGCAGCAGCAGCAGCAGCAGCAGTAACAGCAGCAGAAGAAGGAAAAGCAGCAGCAGCAGCAGCAGCAGAAGAAGCTGGACCAGAAGACACGCTCCGTAAACCCTCCCCCCTCCCCCCTCCCCCCTAAACCCCAAACCCTACCCCCTAAACCCTAAACCCTATCCCCTCCCCCCTCCCCCCTAAACCCTAGACCCTAAACCCTAAACCCTAAACCCTAAACCCTAACCTTGACGATGTTTCTCTTTGGCTGTCCTTCTGCTGCTGCAGTTTGCATTTCTATGCGGGCGACTTCAAACGGCTGATTCCACGTAGACAGCATGCCCCCCTGCAAAACCCTAAACCCTAAACCCTAAACCCTAAACCCTAAACCCTAAACCCTAAACCACAAGGGCGGTGCAGGGGGGATGTATAGGTAGCTACAGGCAGATGTATGCAGCAGCAATAGCTGCTGCAATAGCAGCAGTTACAACAGCAGCAGTAACAACAGCAGCAACAACAGCAGCAGCAGCAGCAGCAACAGCAGCAGCAGCAACAGCAGCAGCAGCAACAGCAGCAGCAGCAAC